GAGCGCGAGCCGGGTCCGCAGCCGGAACCCGGGCCAGGCCGGGGTTCGGGGCCGCAGGGCCGGGCTGCTCGTAGCGGCGGCGACAGAGCCCCCCAGTGGCTGAGGGGCTTCCTCCCGGCTCCCGCCGGCGGCTGGGACCCAGCCAGCCCCGCAGCCGGGGATCGCGGGGATCCCCCAGCACATCCAGGATTTGGCGAGCCCCAGGAAAGCGGGGAGGGGGCGCGGATCCAACGCCGAGCATCTTCCCCGCGGGGATCAGCGGAGACCCCCTCTGTGTTCCGAAGACGGCGACCTTCCCCACGGCACCGCGAAGACGCCCTCTTCTGCCTGCGCCCCCAGACCCCGACCGCTGGGCCCCCGGCCGGGATCGCGGGAACCCCCTCCCGAGACCCCGGTCATCACAGCTCCACACCTCAAGACACGAAGACGCAGCTCCACACGCCCCTAAACCAGGGGATCCTACTGCCCCCCAACTCTGGTACTCAGACACCCCAAATCCAGGACCCGAGGACAGCAAGAGATAGTTCTCACCAGCAAGAAGCCTCGGCGACCCCTTTAAAGGCCCGGGCCACGGAGCCCTCGCATCTCGGCCCATGACTGTGGCGCCCTGAGCCCCCAGGGCCGGGCGGACGAAGACCGAGACGGCGCCCAGGCCCCCTGCCGCGGCGTCCCCGCGGCCCCAGCCCAGGTAAGCCTGGCCCAGGTGAGGGGCGGCAGGTGAGCGGCCCCTGAGGTCCCTAGCGCCCTGCAGGTGGGGAAGGAAGTATTGGGTGAGCGCTCCCCCTCCCCAGCGTCGCCATGGAGCCGAGGCTGAAGGACGTCTCTTTGTGTCTCGCTTGGAGGAGCCGCCCCCTCCTCCCTCCCTTCCCCCACCTTACACCCTGTCCCTGAGGTTTGGGTGCAGCTCCAGGCCCCAGGAGGGAGTGGTTATGGAACCTCTTGTTCCACGGAGGAAGCGGGGGGAAGATGGAGAGTTCCCCCCGAAAACCTGCGTCTGTAGTGTTGGACCCTAGGTCCCTGCAGCATATGCACCCCTCCCCCCAAGGCCAGGCTGAGTTCTCAAGAGAAGTCCCCCCCAGGAGAAAACCTGGGAGCGTCCCTAAGTGAGGGTGGCTGCAGTGTGCGGCTCTAGGTAACAGGAGCTTTGGGTGTGTGTCTTTGTCTGAGAGAGCGGGAAAGGCGTGTGTGGAGGGTGAGTGGGAATCCCTGGTCCCCCGGTGACTGCACGCTCCCCACCCGGGCCGCGGGGCAGGTCTTCACCCAGATGTGCTTTGTGTTCCCCGCAGGACAGGGCGGAGGCAAGCCCTCAGCAAAGTAAGCAGGGGTTTCTGGGCAGAGAGGTCATCTGGCTGAAGCCATTTCGGGCCAGAGCACCTTTCTGTCCCCCTGTGTCCTGGGGACAGCAAACACAGTCCTCCCTTCTGCCCTCTGAAACAGCCAGGGCCAGACGAAGGTTGGGTCAGTATGTCCTAGACGAGCAAGCCGCGATTGCAGGTTCTCGCTTTAGCTTTTCAGGGAGTCTACAGAGCGTGCCCCATCCCAGCGCTCAGTGAGGTTCTAGGAGCCCCCCAGGGGTGCTGGGCCCTGCGATCTTGAAAAGAGGTTGGGCGGTGCCAAGAGAGCACTCTAGGTTGCTGGGTCAGTGCCCCACCCCCACCTTCTCCTTGGCGCCCCCAGAAGCAGGCATTGGCGGAGAACCCAGTGATTCTAAGGAGAGGCTTGGCAGGTAGCACCCCAGGTGCAGGTGATCCAGCAGTAGTTCCTTTGTTCACTGATTCATTCAAAGCTTCCGTTAGTGTCTGTAATGTACCAGGCACTGGAGTCGGGTCCTCTTCCCACTGCGCCCTCTCACCACGGATCATCAGATGCATGGGCTGGTCTCAGTTTGCCCGGGCCGGGCTTGGTTGGGCCAGTTGAGGTGACCTGGGCAGGTCCAGCTGACTAGTTCTTGACCCCACCCCTGAGGGGCTGGTACCCCTGCCGCCGCAGACCTGAGGACCCTGAGCCTAGACAGCTGGTGCCCCTTCTCCCCGCTTCCCACCCCTGGGCCCCACCCCGCACTTGCTGCTGGCGTTGACCCACAGGTGAGATGTGACGAGCAGGCGGAGGGCGGGTGGCCCACGTCACCTCAGACCTCTTGCAGCCCCTCCTGCAAGTTCAAGGACAGCTGAGACTCCCGTCCTCAGCGGAGGCCGTGGGTGAGCCAGCTGCCCTGAGCACTGGGTGACCTTGGGCAAACGTGTGGCATTTCCCAGAGAGAATGACAGGGAGCAAGCCGCTCACTCTGCAGCCGGCAGGGCAGAGGTGGCTCTGAGTTGGACCATGAGAAGCATCCAGGTGTGTCCAGATCATCTCAGAGGCCCCACTTCCCCCACGGGGGTTAGAGCCTAGGTCCTTGTCACTCACCTCAGGCCAGGGAGTAAAACCAAAGGCTGAAGAGCAGAGATTTGAGTCTCTGTCTGCCACCAGGGAAAACCGTTAGAGGAAGGCTTCCCCGCCTCTCTAACCCGCAGAGGCTCTCCATTGAGTACAGAATAAAGTAGCTAAACAGCCCAGCCCTCTGCAGTCCGGCCCTAACCCAGCCCTCAGGCAGAATCTACTCCTCAGCTTCCTCCTCTCCTCCTGCCCCGGCTTCTCATCCTCATCCACAGTCATGCACTGTTCCCTTGACCCGGAGCCCACGCACCTCCTCTTCTGATCTGACCTCAGCCAGCACGAGTGGGACGCTGACTTGCTCTGGTGGATTGGTGACTTGGAGACATAGCATGTGTCCTTATGTGCCGTGAGAGTGTTTGCGCATCTAGACTCTGAGCTCCAGGAAACCACGGCTGTGTGTCCCTGGGCCGCATTGAAATTGTCAAACTCAGAGCTCTGTACCTTGTACAGCACAAGTGGTAAAATAGCTTATAGATGCATTTAGTTGATGCAGGGTATTTCACATGTGCGTTTGTTGTCAATGCTAAAAAATGGGGTAGGGGGGCGATTTCACATTCAAAAGTGATTTGGGAGCCAGACATGGTAGTCCCCACACTCTGGGCGGCTGAGGCAGGAGGATGCAAGTTCAGGCCCAGCCTGGGCAACTTAGCAAGACCTTGTCTCAAAACAAAAAATAAAAAAGGGGTTAGGGATGTAGTTCAGTACAAAGGCCCAGGTCTCCATCCCGGTACTGTCCCCCAAAGAAGAAAAGCATTTGAGGCTCCTTTAGAAAAATCAGGCAATTTGGCAACCATGGGCCAAAGCCAAAGAATGGCTGCCTTTTAGACAGGGCACGTTCTCACCAGTTCACCCCAGCTGCCCTGGCCTGCTGACATGACCTGCTGGCCCCTGCTACTGGCATCCAGATTTGCAGGCCCAGGGTGGAGGCTAGAAAAAAAATGTTTGCTCAGCAGGTGACCCTCGCCCCAGGTGTCCCCCCTGTGCAAGCTGCCTGCCTCCCCGGGGCAGATTAGAACTTGTACAGGGCAGTGTCCTTCTGGGTCTTGAGGACTCAGTGCTGAAGCAAACCTGGCCTTCTGTGTCCGGCCTCAGTTTATACTCTGAGGCCCATCTTGTGCCCTCACCCCTGCCTATGCGAGGGTTCTGTCACCAAAATCCTGGTGGCGTTGTGCTACTTAGAGCAGAAGTCCAGGGTTCAAGGTTTGGCTGAGGACTCTTAGAGGAGGTCACTCTGGGCCTCAGTTGACCCATCTGTCCAGAGAAGAGTTGGACTAAAGTTCACTCCTGTTGTGATTTTCTAGGACTGAGTTCTAAGGTTCGGTCTGCGGTAGAGGTGGAGCCCTAGACGCAGCAGTCTCAGACATCAATGAGATTGATGGGTGTTGCCAAGCAGTTGGGCTAGAGGCCAGGAGCGTGGCCCTGGCAGGAAGGGAGCCATCTTCCTGGGCAGAAGACCATGGCAGCCCGAGGTCAGAGGAGACCGCAGAGCGCTGTGGATGAGAGCGCAGGCTCTGGACTCTGCACCTGTGTGACCGTGGGCACGTCATTTCACCTCCCCGGAACTCAGTTTATTTATCTACAAAGCAAGGCTAAGACCACCTTCATGGGGTCCTTAGGTGAATAAGTGAGCTAAAGCTCAAAGAGGGCCTAGGACGGTCTGCTCGGGAGGTGTCAGCTCTTCCTGAAAGAGGCATGAGGAGGAGGGTGACCAAGCCCTGCAGCTTGTACCTCCTTGGGAGCTGGCTAGGGAGGCGAAAGGCTTCCTGGCTATGGCCAGGGAAGGGAAGGAGCCTTGGAGTGGCAGCCGTTCACCGACCTCAGGAGGGCGAGGCTGGCCCCTGGTTAGGGGTGGGGCTGGGGGCTCAAGGCTGAGCGACTGGGAGAGCCCTCCCAGAACCTGTCAGGGTTAGGGTTAGGGTTAGGGTTAGGGTTAGGGTTAGGGTTAGGGTTAGGGTTAGGGTTAGGGTTGAAGCCCTGCCTGAGAGGCAAAGTAGAGTGGCCTGGCCTGGGGTCCCTCGGGAGGCCCTCTTCATTGTCAGCCTCTGCTCTCCAAGTAAAGCCTGGTCGGCCCTTCAATGGAGTGATTGCCTATGGGGCCCATCCAGGCCCAGAGCCTGGGTGACTTTGCCACCAGGCCCAGGAGCTTCTCCTGACCACTCCCTCTTCCAGATTCCTGGAAGTAGCAACAGCCACAGCAGCTAGGCCTGGATGGGACGAAGTCCCCTCTCAGGCCAGTCCCCAGGCCTGAGAGCGGCGGGGTCCACGGTCCAACTCGGCCCCCAGTGGGAAAGCATGGAACTGTCAGAGTTGGAGGGAAGCAGAACGATTCTTAACGTCAGGGCTGGACAGAGCTGGGCTGTGGGCCCTGTGCTGTTCATGAGCCGTGTGACCTTGCACGAGTCATTGTGCTCTGGGTCCCAGCTTCCTCCCCGCGGACTGAGGCACTAACAGCTCTCACTTCCTGAGGGGTTGTGAGGGCTGAGTGACTCTCTGGCAGGTAAACCACTTTAGCTGTGCCTGCTGCTCAACGTTGGAGCTATGAAGTCTTTCACGCCCTGCTGGGGTCGGCAAATGAGCTGATGCAGGGCCAGGAGGCCCGCTGCGACTTCCCACTGCACCAGCTCTCCTTCCCTGAGGCTGCGGCACTCCCCGGAGGGAAAGAGAATGTTTGAACAGCTGCGGGGCATTGGGGTGGCCCTGAGGGACGAGGAGACGGCGCGGGGGTGGGGGTGCACAGCACAGCCACGTCTCCCTCGTGGCCAGGCCCAGGGAGGGGCACACCTCCAGCCCCACCTCCCTCAGCAGGAAGGGGCCTACATTCCAACTCCCTGATGGGGAGAAGACCTCGCCCCTTGGGAGCTGGCTGTCTCCAGAAGGCCAGCACTTAATATAGACTGAGTTAAAAGCACTCTGGACCCAACTCTGTGTCCTGGACATAGGGCCTAGCCTCCCTGGGCCTCAGACCCCTGTCTGTAGGAAAGCAGATGACATCAGTGCCTGCCACGCAGGGTCAGATTAAGTGACGAATGTTTGTGAAGTGCGGGAATGGTGCCCGCTGTTGATCTTGGTTCCCCAAAGCCCTGATCAGAAAGGGATGAACGTTGAGGGCACAGGGTGAAGAACTTCAGTTGAGTGTCCGCATCCGGGCCTCGGGGAAGATTCTGGCCACCCTCCGACCATTCCCACAGCAGCGCTGAGCCTGGGCTCCCAGCACATCGGGAACGCTGGCACGGCTGTTCTGCCCCAGGTCTCTGTTCACACGGGGCTGCCCCGGGCCAGAGCTGCAGCAGAGAAGTCTGCAGCCCCAGCCAGCTCCAGGCTCAGTGGGAGGGCGCTGCTGTGGGCAGGTCCACAGCCTGAGCGCAAGGCCCAGGCCGGGGTCGTGTGTTCGTTTCCTGGGGCCCAGCAGTGGGGCCGCTGCCGGAAGGGTCTGCTCGGGTCTTGGGTCCGGTGTGCTTCTTACCAGCAGTGGAAGCCGGGTCCGTGTTGTGGCCCCCAAGGCCCCCTGTGACAATGGCTGCCCCCTCTCCCCTCTGCCCTCTTGTCCTGCCCCTCCCCCCCTCGCCCACGGCCTGCAACCTCCACACTGAGGCCTGTGCTGAATACCGGTCAGCAGTTTCCTTACCCGTTCCCGCTCCCTACCTCCCTCCAGCACCGTTTCACTGCCGGACACACCTCTCTCACCTTTATCCTCATCTGCCGCCAAACAGAACAGAAGCGTCTTCAGGACGAGGTGGTGCGTGTGGCTTGCAGATGTATTCCAGATCCGAGAACAGGGCCAAGCACATAGTGGGTGCTCAAGAAATATGGATGGAATGTTCTGGAACCACCCTGCTCCCCAAGCCCCTTCCTACCTGTGGACCCTAGACACAGCACTTAATCATTCCTTCTCTGAGTCTTCTCTTAGCGGTAAGAGATGTCATAGGAATAATAAACAGCTTCTCCTAAGACTGTTGGGAAGCTTAAAGGACTCAGTATACACCAAATACTTTTACGTTTTTTGGGTTTTGTTTTGCTTTATTTTCTGTTTTTGCAGTATTGGGGATTGAACAGAGGGCCTTCACACTGAGTTACACCCCCCAGCCCTGTTTGTCACTGTTTTTCATTTTAAAACAAGGTCTAGCCGGGCGTGGTGGCGCATGCCTGTAATTCTAGCACTCGGGAGGCTGAGGCAGGAGGATCGTTGCAAGTTTGAGACCAACCTGGACTACAAAGTGAGTTCAAGGCCAGCCTGAGCTGCATAGCGAGACTCTGTCTCAAAAAGACAAAAAAGGAGCTGGGATTTAGCTCAGTGGCACGGCGCCTGCCTGGCAAGCGCGAGGTCATGAGTTCGATTCCCGGTACTGGAAAAACCAAAAAAAAAGACAAGATCTTGCTAAGTCACTGAATTGTCCAGATGGGACTCAAACTTGAGATCTTCTTGCCTCAGCCTTCCCACTAAGATTACTGGCATTTGCTACTGCGAGAGCTACTTTAAGTGGTGCGTAAATGTTGGGTTATATTAATACTGCTCAAAGCTTCCGCTTTTACTGATGAGAAAGAAACGGGCTTGGAGCTCCGTGACCAGGAGTGACCTGGCCTGCCTGAGCCTGTGCTGCTGGCTGCTAGGCGAGGCTACATCCTTGTCCGATGCTCTGGGCAAGAGAGTCCTGCTCCTCAGCCATCCGTGCAGTGGTCCTCACGTCCACTGGTGGCCACCCAGCCAAGGCCCTTGGCCAGTCTGCCGGCGGTAGGCGACTGCCACATCCACCATGTTGCACTCCGTGGGTACCTGGGAGAGTGGGCCTGGGTTCCCGCTTCCCTCAAGGGCCAGAAGAGGCTGGGCAGCTTGTTCAGCTCCGGGCACCAGCTGTAGGCAGGCAGCGTCACAGGCTATTAATAGCCACCAAGGATGTGCCCGGGGAAGGGGCAGACTGTGTGCCAGCTGGGAGAGGAGGGGAGGCTGAGGCTGGAGCCAGACGTGGAGCCTTGCACACAGACAGCGCAGGGAGCCTGCTGCCCCTGGTTGGGGAGGCAGCGATGAAGAATGCCTGCTTTCCCACTGTGCTGGCTTGACCTTGGGACATTCCCAGCTCTACCTCAGTTTCCTTGTTTGGGAAATGGGGGTGCCAGGTGGCCGCAGCCCCTTCTAGGTCGCGCTCCTTCAGGGGATGAGATTTAACAGACCTGGGATGACCTCCCTGGATGGAAGAGAAAACCAAGCCCCTCTACGGAGCCAGCAACAGAACCAGGGCCCTTTCCCTTCTGTCTGGCCAGTTCTTTTGTTGGTGGTGGTAGTGGGGTTTTGTTTGTTTGTTTTTAATACTGGGAATTAAACCCAGAGCCTTTGCCCTGAACTACATCTCCAGGACTTTTTTGTTTTTTATGTTGAGACGGAGTCTTGGTAAATTGCCCAAGCTGGGCTTGAACTTGCCATTTTCCTGCCTCAGCCTTCCAGAGTGCTGGGAGACAAGTGTGCGCCACCGTGCCTGGCTCTGTCAAACCAGTACGTACCAAACCTGGCTCTATACCAGGTACTTTAAGACATGCTCATTTCATTCCCTCTGGAGTCTGCCATGAGCACTGGGCATTTACAACCCCATTGTGCTGATGGGCAGACTGAGGTTAGGCTGGTGGCACAGCCACCCAAGGTTACACCACTATACAGGGACAGATTTAAGATCTGCACCCTGAAAGGCAGACAGGGACACAATACGAGAATATTCTATTTCTCTCCCTCCTTTAGACCCAGGGACCTGACCCTCTGGTTTTGTGTGTAGAAGTAGATGTTTCTCAGGGAAGCAGGTCCTGAGCCTCAGAGTAATCCATGAAAGGACAAGAACCACTAAATTTGCTCATTTCATAGATTAGAAAACTGAAGAGATGAGGGACTGGGCGGGCTCCCTAGGGACCAGCAGCAAAGGGGGGAATCTCTGCCAGCCACCTCACAAGCCTGCATTTGGGGCCAGAGGGCCCAGCACTGCCCTTTCTCCCACTCGCTGGCACATGGGGGCAAATTTCCGCTCTGCCTTACACCAGTGTGGTAGGGAGGGGCATTCTTCCGTGAAAGTGTTAAGAGCGGAGAGCTGGGCTGGGATGCCTGTTTGGGGACAGAAGAGAGGGCTTCACTTCCTAGCACAGCCTGGCCCACTGTGGGAATCCAGGTGGGCACTGGGCCAGCCGTCTACCCTGGTCCCTCTTGGGGGATCCAGTGCTCATGGCTGGCAGGGGGGCAGGTACACCTTATCCTGGTACTTTCCTTTGAAATCACTTCTTCTCAGCCATACCGGGTTCCTGTCTCCCCAGGATGATTTTTTTTTCTTTTTTTTTTCTTTTTTTTTTTGAGAAAGGGTCTAGCTATGCTTTTCAGGCTGGCCTTGAGCTCACTTTGTAGCCCAGGCTGGCCTCAAACTCGAAACAATCCTCCTGCCTCAGCCTCCCAAGGGCTGGGATTACAGGCGTGCACCACCACACCCAGCTCCAGGATGGTACCTGATGAAGTTTCTCTTCACTCGGTTCCCCCTCCCCTCCCCAGGCAGTCATGTGCTCATGTATGCAGCAGGCATTTATGAAGTGCCTACTGTGTGCCCCGCACTGTAGTAACTTCTGGGGGATACAGCTGTGAATAAGACTGCACAACAAAGTCCTTACCGTCTAGGTGCTTCAGTGCTAGCGGGGGAGAGACAGTCAAAATAAATGTCGCCAGTCGGTAAATTATGTAATACATTTGAAAGTCATAGGTTCTGCTTGGGAAAAAATAGAGCAGCCCATGGGGGATGGGAGGGCAGAGGGCAGTCCTGGTAGAGAAGGTGCCATCTGAGCAGAACCAGGAGGGGAGGAGCTGGGCGGATGTGGGGAAGAGCTGTCCGCACGGAGGGCGCAGCCCCAGGAGGCTGTGCTCAAGGACGACACAGGCAGTGCAGCGAGGGCAGGAGACGGCTCAGAGGGGTACAGGGGAGGGCTTGGGGATAAGGTAGGAGCTGACAGAGGGTGCTGACTGGATGGCGACCAGCAGACCATTAGGAAGATAACTGTAGGGGCTGAGAGGTGACAGTGCTACAGACCAGGGGGAGTGACCAGCCAGGTGAGGTGGTGAGGGTGGGCAGGTACCTTTATTAACATCCGGTGTGGATTCTGGAGTTACTTTATGCAAGAACACACACATGAGAAGCTTCTTTTTACTTTCCCCCCATTTCGAGATAGTGTACTCACCATCTGGACCGGCCTGGCCTCACCCCAACGGATAGGGAGGCCCGGAGAGGATGAGGGAGCTGGCGGCAGCTGCTGGATCCCGCCAAGAGGAGCCCTCCCCTGCATGACGGGGGAAGCAGTGGCACGGCTTCTGCATGGCACTGGGCACTCTGTAGGAATTCAAGCACACGCATCTTTTAACCCATCAACCACGTTTTAGAATTTATCATAGAGCTACATCCGCACGTGCTGCAAAATGATTTATACACAAGGCCACTCGTTGTTTATAGCGGTGGGAGAAGGTTGGGCATGACCTGAGTGTCTCTCAGTTGGTGTTTGGTCAAATAAATGTCAAAATAGCCATATGTACCTTTGCAGTCACGGGGCCCTGGCTTTCCTAAAGCAGTTCTCGGCCAGGTTCCCTATCCTTCTAGTCTAGGGCCTCTGCTAGCCTGCCCACCCACCCCCCTGGTGCTGTCCACACTAGTGGTGCTGAAGACAGTGGGGCTGCAGGAAGGCCTAGAGACCAAGAGTGAAAAAGAGAGACAGAAGCCAGGGGAAAGTCAGGCTTTCAGTCCCTGGCTCTGCTGCTACTCGTGAGCTGGGGAGATTTGGACATGTTTTTTAGCCCCTCTGAGTCTCAGTGTCCTGTGAAAGGGAGCTTCTGTGACGATTAAATGACCATTGTACAGCACTAAAACACTGAAAAAGTTAGTGGTCGTTCTTATCAGATCATTTTAGAGCTAGTAAAGCGTAACGGCTAAGCTTTTGGACACCAGACTGATGGTGCCTTAATGTGAATCTTGGCTCTGCTACTTCCCAGCTGGAGGCTCTTGATCAAGGACCATGACTGCTCTCAACTTCCTCATGGATAAATTGGGGTCATAATAGTACTTACATTAGTCCTGTTACTGAGACAAAATACCCAACACAGGTTTATTTGGCTTGCAGTTTGCAACAGGTTCAGTCCACAGTCGTCTGGCTCCATGGCAGAAATAGCATGGTGGAAGGGCATGCGGAGAACAGCTGCCCATCCCACGGCAACCAGGAAGCAGAGCGGGGAACCAGTGCCAGAGCGGAGTGGGTGAGGGATCACATGGAGTACCCAAGGGCTCACCTCCATGACACAGCCAGGGGTGTGCTGCTCTTGTCTGCTAATCTGCTAGGTGCATTTTTTGTTTGTTTGTTTGAGACAGGGTCTCGCTATGCAGTCCAGGCTACCCTTGAACTCACTTTGTAGCCCAGGCTGACCTCAGACTTGCAGTGAGCCTCCTGCCTCAGCCTCCCGAGTGCTGGGATTACAGGTGTGCGCCACCACGCCCCACTGCTAGGAGCTTCTTAATCCAGTGAAGCTGATATGTCAGGATTAATGGTCGGAGTTCCCATGTCCTGGAAGAATGTGAGAATTAAATTAGTTCACTTACATGAGGCACTTGGCATAAAGCAAGCCTTCCCTATGTGTCAGCTCTTTGTCATCACTTTCGTTGTCACTCTCCATCTCATAGCACCTCCAGCTTTTTGTCCAGCGACCAGCTCTACTCACAGCGCCCCCTGTCTGCCATGCAGGGGGTGGTCCGTCTGCACCTTGTTCAGCCCATACCCTGGGTTCTCGTCCAACCTGCCCCTGAATTACTGTGTGACTGTGAGCACATCATTGTCCACTCTGACCATCGCCTTCTGCACCTGTAAAATGAGACTAATGCCACTTCACGCAGCCCCTGGGAAAATAACTCTGCGCCTACAGGGTCACATCCAGGAAAGACGAGATATAAAAAGTTACAACTTCCCCAACACGTAAGGAGTTATTCAGCCGGCATTTGTCACGCCCTGCCTGAGTGCTGGGAATAGCAAGATGATTAAGGCAGGGGCTTGCTCTCAAGGAGCTCTTGGGTTTCTTGCTGGGATGCAGGTACACTTGTCTGGAACCTTTAGGTGGGGAGTTATGTAAGCCCAACTCCAACCAGCTTAATTAAGCCAAAAGGGAAATTTACTGATTCATGAAATAAATGTTCAGGAGTAAAGTTGCCATTAGGCATGCCAGCGTCCAGGCCTCACGGTCACCACAAACCGCTTCATCTTTCAGTTCTGCTTTACCCTCGTGGCGGCAGAGTCAGCCCCCAGCAGCAGGGTGGGAGGGCACTGCCCCAGTGGGTCTCCTTTGACCACATGTCCGTCTCGGGGGTGGATGCGTGGGTTGTGCCAGGCCCACCCTGCAAGCCAGGGTAGAAACCACCCTCCCAAGCCCCGGGGGCCGAGAGAGGGGCCGGTACCGAAGAAAGGGGAACTGATGCTGAGCAGGAAGAGGAACAGAGCACAGGCCCATTCAAGAAACTGCTGAAAATGCGGAGCAAGGCAAGGATTGAGTCAAATCTGGTCTGAAGACGAGTTATCTCACTATGTGCACAAGAAGGATGGGAGAGGAACCTGCAGCCAGGTGAGAAGAGTACGGAGGTTGAGAGCTGACTCCATCGTGCGGGCTGCAGAGTGCAGCTCCAGCCCCCTCTGCTTGCAGAAAGCAAAGTGGACCAAGTGAGAGAGGCCACTAGGGTTCCCCCTCTCCTCACCCCTCCACATGGTTGCTTTTTTCATGGGGATTTTTTTTTTCTAGTATTGGGAATTGAACTCACGACCTCGCACTTGCCAGGCAGGTGCTTGTGCCGCTGAGCTATATCCCCGGCCCTTCATGGGTATGTTTCATAAAAATACTAACCAGAGAAGAGAGGCAGCCCGCCAGGAAGGGTCCTCAGTCACTCAACGATCCTTCCAGACCAGGCTTTGTTGGTGTACCCTTGGTGTGTGCCCATGCCAGGGACGTGGCATAGATCCAGTGGCCTGAGGGCAGGCACCAGGGATGGGGGCAGAGAACCTTAGGATTTTAAAGTGGGAATCAGAAAGTCGTGTCTCGCATTATTCGGTCCAACATCACCCCTACCGAGCCCCCGACAGATGGGCTACCAGCCTCTGTTGCATACCCCAGGGAGGGAGAACACACTTCCTCCCTGTTTGGTCTTCTTGCTAGTTGTTCTTTGCCTGGGTCTGTCTGCCTTTGGGAGCCTCACCGTACAAGGAGCAGCAGAGCCTGGGACCTGCAGCCCAAAGCCTGGAGTTTGTTTGTTTGTTTGTTTGTTTATTGTCTTTTTGAGACAGGGTCTTGCTATGCAGTTCAGGCTGGCCTTGAGCTCACTTTGTAGCCCAGGCTGGTCTCAAACTCATAACGATCCTCCTGCCTCAGCCTTCCGAGTGCTGGGATTGCAGGCATGCGCCACCATGCCCGGCTAAGGCCAGAGTTTAAATCCGAGCTTTTGGGTGAGTTTCTTAGCTCATTTGTGCTTCGTTGCTGCCTTAACCCATTTAGTGCTGCTATATCTAAAAGTCCAGAGATTAGGTGGCTTCAAATGAACAGAAGTTTATTTCTGACAGTTCTGGAGGCCAGGAAGTCCAAGGTCAAGTTGCTGGCATCTGCTGAGGGCCTTCTTTCTGCATCATCCCCTGGTGGAAGGAAGAAGGGCAAGAGGGGGTGGGGAAAGGGAAGCAGTCCGCTCCTGTAGTAGCAACATTAACCCACTTATTTGGGTAGAGCCATGAGGGCCTAGTCATCTAGGAGCATCCCACTTCTTAAGACTGTTAACATGGCAACTAAGTTTCAGCATAGGTTTTGGAGGGGACGTTGAAACCATAGTAATACTCCTTTCTGGAAAAGAGGGTAGCAGTAGTAAGCGTCTGCCTTCCAGGACTGCTGTGATTATTATGATTTAACCCACAACAGTTAGCGAAGCTCCGAGCCCATGTTAAATGCTCAGTATATGTCCACAGGGTTATGATTCTCCCACAAGGTAGGATAGGAGTGGGCCTCCTCTCTGTGGACTTGCCACCCGCCCTTCCCACGCCAGCGGTCGGGTTCGTGTCACTAGGTCTCAGGATTATTACCATCCTGGATGACCTCTGGCTGCATGCAAGGAAGTTGAACGTGCTGAGGTTCACAGCTCTTTTGCTTACTGGCTGCGTAACCCTTGAATTAGGGGCATGCTGGCTGCTGTAACAAATAAACTCACATCTCAGCAGCCTAACAGTAGATGTTTGCTTCTGCCTCATAGATAGTACAGGGTGGGTCATTCTCAGTAGCGTGGGGCCTTCCACACCCCTTCCTTGCGCACCCAGGCTCCTCCTCCCTGAAGCTCCACTGTCTTTTAGGGTTTTGGAGTACTCTGCATCAAACCAGCACCTAGCAAAAGAAAACAGGCCTTTCCTATTCAGAGAAGCCCCTGCCTGGCAATGACACATACTACTTCTGTTCACATTCCCACTGATGAAGCCAGCCACCTGGCCAGGCCTGGCTGTAAAGGAGGCTGGGAATGTGGGTCCCTGCTGGACAGCCACTTTGCAGCAGCAGCCTCGGGTTGGGGAAGAGGAAGCACATGTTGGTGGAGAGTTGGCCGTCGTTGACGTGACCGCATGCAAATCATGCATCACTTAGGCCTCTGCTCTTCTTCTACAAAGTAGGAAACATCACTGCATTGTGGCCATTGGTTGCCCAGTGCTTTAGGCTGTTAAAATCATTCAGTTGTGCGCTGACAGTGGGTGCGTTTTGTGCTGTGTAAGTTACACCTCAACTGCACTGTTCTTGTACCACGCGGGCAGCTTCTGAGGGTTCTTGTGAGGACTCAGTGAAGGAAATTTTGCACAGCTTGCGACACTGTATGTGCGTATGTGTATGTGCGCGTGTGCGCGTGTGTGCATCTTTATGTGCTTGTTTGCATTGTGCATTTGTATGTCTGCATCTGCAAGCTGTGTATGCATGTATGTGTGTGTGCTTTTGTGTTTGTGTGTATTTGTTCCTGTGCACATGTGTACGTGCTTGTGTGCTGGTATGCCTTTGTGTGTCTGCGCTTGTGTATGTGCTTTCGTGGCTGTGTTTGCGCTGTGTGTGTGTTTGTCACCTGGGCACATGTGTGTATGCTTGGTGTCTCTGTATGTGCTTGTGCGTTTACACGGTAGGCATGGGGGTTCAGCGCAGACCTGAGTTGGCCACCACGTTGGGTATAGCTTCGCAAGGGTGGCACCCAGCCCAAGCCACCCGCCAGCAGGAAGTGGTAGGCGGTTCAGTCTTGCTTCTTGCTTGGGAAACCCTCCCCCACCACAGTGGTGAGCTACAACTGCTGCCATGGAGACCAGGGACCCCACCTGCCCTCGGCCACAGAGATGGAAAATAGAGGAGCTCCCTTGGGGCTGGGGAAGACACACCCAACGGGTTCCCTGGGCCGGCACGGTCAGCCTGAGTGCGAAGAGAGAGGACAGTGGCGAATCCAGCCCCTGATGGCGCAAGCTCACAGCCTCCGAGTCCGCAGCATGGGATCAGGGACCACGATGATGATAACGTCCTGGGGGTATCGAGCTGTCACCCCATGCCAGACACTCACGCCTTCTACCCTGCCAGCCCCTCAGTGAGGCAGCTGTACCGGGCTTCACACGGGCCCGTGTCCTCTCATCTGGAGGAGCTGCCTGCTGTGTGGCGTCACCACCAGAACGACTTCGTGCCCGGCCAGTGCCTGGCACCCAGGTTAGCTCTCAACGGGCCCTGTGAAGAAGGCATGGGCATCGGTGGCTGAGATTCTGCCCTCCTCTGAACCTGGGTTTCCCACTCAGCTGCTGAGGGATCTGGGTGAGATGTTCAGCGTTCCGACTTGGGAAAACAGAGTGGGTTATGTACCAACTTTGGAACCCATCCCAGTGCCAGCCGTGTGATGTTAGGCAAGATATTCAGACTTCCTGTGCCTCGTTTTTGCCATCTCTAAACCGGTGGTATAATAATAATAATAATACCTGCCTTGTGGAGTGGGGAGTGCTGTTCAGGACAGGGCCTGGGCTGTCGTAGGCACTGTTGAAGAGCTAGTGCCGTGTTGTGTCTTCCTCATCGTGCGGATGTGTAAGCAGCGGCCAGAGAAGTGGCGTGACTTGCTCAAGGTCACACAGCTAATAAGTGGTGCACGTTAGGATCCAGGCCAAGGCTGCGGAGCCCAAAGCCCGTGCTGCTTCTGCCGCTTCCCGCTGTGCCTCTTAAGTCACAGGCGTGGTAAGTGGGTCAGCGGCGGTGTGTACCTGGGGGATGATGCAGCGGCAGGGACCGTGTGTGGATTCATTCCTCGTCCCCTGCTGACACCTTGCGGAGAGGCAGCAGGCTGAGGAGGAAGGAGGGAGGCCCCCCGAACTGGACCCGACGAACTAAGGAAAGGGATGCGAGAGTTGATTCTGACCCAGCCCCCGGCGGGCTCTGGGTGCTGAGAAAGGTGCATACACGCCTGTCCAGGTCCTGGGACTCAGCAGAGCCCCCGCAGGAGCAGCCGGGAAGGCTTTGTTGGGGAGGCTGGGGGTGTCAGGCTGGAGGTGGTGAAACAGGCATTCGGGTCACCGCAGGGAATGGATGGGTGCTACTGACGGGCCGACCCGGGGTCCAAACCCAGGCCCTGCGGCTGCGCCCCGGGCCCAGTCCAGCACATACCCAGTGCAGCTCAGAGGCCAGTGGGGCGGAAGGCACGTGGCTGCTCACAGCTGCCACCCCAGCCCCTGGGGCAGCAGAAACACTGTGTGGCTGCTGGGCAGGGCTAGGCTGAGGAGGCAGGCACAGGTGCGCTGAGCCACGGGGAGTTCAAAGAGCAGAGGCTGTGTGCCCGTTGGGCCCCTTTGGGGAGCCCCACGCTGCCTACGAAAGGCCCCGGGGTGCCCTGGTCTGAGGGTGCCCACGCAGAAGCAGCCGTCTTTTCTCTGCATGCGTGAAAGCAGCCCTTCGGTTTTCCTGACGCTGGTCCTCAGCACGCTCTGGGGCAGACATTGGCCAGGGCTCGGAGGAGGCGGCCCCTGGCTGCCCCGAAGCCAAGGAGAGGCTACTGCAGGGAGATCGCCTCCTAATGGAGCCCAGTTACCCCACTGTACCCCAGCTGGGGCCGCAGCACAGACCCATGTGACCCAGCCTGGAGCTGTGACTGCGTAGACTTGGCCAGGGTCGGAAGGTAGCGGAGAAGGGAAGGAGGACCGGTTTGCTGGGGCCTGGCCCCGTTTCTCTCTTCCCGTGGGGGTCTGCGAAAGGGGCTCATCAGCCTTCAGACTGGACCCTGGAGCGAGGCTGGTGGCATTTCAGATGGGTTTCCCTGGCACATGCATGACCGAAATGAACTAGGAAAGAAAAGGCCGTAGCTGGGGGTGGGAAGGCTGTGAGAACAGAGACCATGAACAGAGCTAGTTCATGAATGGAAGGAGCAGGATGCTGAGGAGGCAGAGGGGGAAGGGCTCCTGCGCCCCAGCCAGCTGGGAGGGCGATACAGATGGAGCCTCGCTCGTGGGGAGGTGGGAGGCCAGGAAGTTCCCTCCTGACGCTCCTTCTCTCCGTGTGAAGTGGGAGGCTGGGTCGTGCTGCCAGAGGGAAGGGGGAAGGCAGAGGAAGAGGCTGTGGGGCTGGAGGGGGCTGCTAGGCCAGGCTGAGAGAACCCCAGCCCCCCGCTCCCGGTCCTCCTGCCTCAGCTGGGATGACGAGGACGCACCGCCATACCCAGCTGTCTATTCACTTAATTTAAACCTCCCAGCAACCCATAGGAAGTAGGTACTGTCATCGTGTCTGTTTATAGATGAGGAAGCTTGAGGTACCGAGATGAAGTAATCTGCCCAAGGGTATCTAGCTAGTATATGAAAGATTAGGGCTTCAGACCCAGGCTCCAAGTCAGCATCTTCTACCAGACAGAGCTGAGAGGGTTGTCCATCAGCAAGGGGGGCTGGGGGTAGTTGTGGGTGCTGGCGGGGCTGAGGGAGGTGCACCAGGAGGTGGCCCCCAGGGCTTGTGACAGCTGACACGGTGCAGTGCTGGTGTCCCCTGCCCACACCTGCGTGCCACGCTTGGAAAAGGCTCACTCCCCTAGTCTGCCCTCCCCAACTTCACCAATAGGAAATGGGGGCCCCAGGGAGGGCACCTGGAAGACAAGGGCAAGGGCAGGGAGGGGGGAGCTTCTAAAGGGGTAGAAGGAAGCTCTTGTGTGATGGGTGTGTTTGTTATCTTGATCGCAGTGATGGTTTCGTGAATATACATGTGTCAAAACTCATCAGATCATACACTGAAAATGTGTGGTTTGTTGTATATCAAATGTACCTCAATAAAAAGAGAAAAATTAAGCAAAATATAATGGGGGTAAATGGCCGGGGTTATAGCTCCGCGGCACAGTGCCTGCCTGGCAAGTACAAGGTCATGAGTTCGATTCCTGGTACCAAAATAGCAATAATAATAATAATGATGGGGGGTAAAGGCCCCGGATCCAGCCTTCATTCACTGTCCCCCCCCCCGTAGAGTCTTCCCGAGTGGGTCTGGGGTACCCACCCTGGATGCTGCCCCTTGAGTTGCCCTGCTTCCCGTTCACTCCCACAGGTGGAGCCAAGGGCACACTTATTAGGACCGGAGATGCACTCAGAACCGCCCCAGCCTATGCGGACACCAGCGGCTTCTCAGGCTGGGACTCAGGAGGGGACAGGCTGGGACTTCGCAGGGTACGCGCTGTGTCCTTGCGTCAGGGGCCAGGGGTCCGGGACCACAGCCCCACTGCGTGTCCTTGTGCGGGTCGTGCTGTCGGCCGTGCCGTGTGTGGCCACATGTGTACCGCCCCGCCGGGGTGTGGAGCGAGGCTGCCTGGTCTGACCGTGTGGCTCTTGCCCCTCCCAAGCCCCACAGCCCCGTTCACCTTTGATTGTAATGTAGTTGTGTGTCTTTGAGGTGTTTCCTTGTCCGTTCAGCGCTGTGTCCCTGGGCCTTTGATTCACACACGGCCCACAGCAGGTTCCTCATTAACGTGGAAGAGTGGGGTTGAGGTGTGGCTGGGTGATAGAGTATATGCTCGGCCTGAGAGAGGCCTTGGGCTCAACTCCCATCTCTGCATACAAGACAAAACTTGCGAATGGAAGCATGCCCGTGAACTTGGTGTATGGCCGAGTCTTTGTGTGACGTAAATGTGCACGCCATGCCTGGCCCTGTGGGGATGACAGCACGGGGACTGACGACCAGTGGCGCACAAGGGTGAAAGCAGACGGTAACGGGCTCCAGCCTAGCCTGGGAAGCCTCAGCTATGTGACCGAGCTAACTGTTGCCCCCTTGTGGTCATCTTGCGCCAGGCTTGGGGGCCCAGCTGGGAGTTTCCTGGGTGCTGGGGCAGCAGAAGGTAGGTGGAGGAGGGGGCCCCGGCCTGATGTCACTCTTCATGTCCCCCTGCCCACAACAGGGAGAAGATGAGCGTGGGCTGCCCAGAGCCGGAGCCGCCCCACTCCCTGCCCTGCTGTGGGCTGGGGACCGCCCCTGGGCCGGGGGCGGGCGTGCCCCTCCTCACGGAAGACATGCAGGCGCTGACCCTCCGCACCCTGGCTGCCAGCGACATCACCAAGCACTACGAGCTCGTCAGGGAACTGGGCAAAGGCACCTACGGGAAGGTTGACCTGGTGTCCTACAAGGGCACAGGTGAGTGTCCTCAGGGTGGCAGAATTGTAAGGTTGGGGTGGGGGACGTTGCCAGGGCGCTCTGCTGGGGGAGGGAGCAAAGGGGGCGAGGCAGTGGTCCAGGTGGAGAGGATGGCCCCTGCAGCAGCCCAGGAGACGGACAGCAGGCAGATGGGACGAGGGAGGAGCCTGGGGACGGGGTGCCCTGAGTAGGGTGGGCTGCTTTGGGGCCGCCTGCGACGCCCCAGGGACCGCTGGAGCTCAGGGAGAGGCGGGACTGGCAGTTGTGCTTGAGGTTGGTCAATGATAGGCGACCCTTGGGAGGTGGGCAGAGCTGCAGGTGGGTCCTCGGGACCAGGGCACCATGCTTGCAGGGTGGTGGGAGCCGAGCCTGTGGCACCAGGGTGGCCACCTCTTTTCTCTGATGAGGACACTGCCACCAAGACATGCCATCACTTCACCAGTTCTTGGTTACCGTTCCCATTGCTGAGACGGAATAGTCAACACCTGAAGTTAAAGGAGGACCCGGTTTATTTATTGATTGATTGGGGGCTGGGACCTTGCACTTGCCAGGCAGGTGCTCTGCCACTGAGCTGTATCCCCGGCCCGGAAAGGTTCATTTTGTGTACAGTTTGTGGAGGGTTCAGTCCATAATCGGCTGGCTCTAAGGCAGGGTCACACATGGAGGGGTGGCGTCACAGAGCAGGCAGGAGGCAGCGGGGGACAAACAGCAGCACCCTGTCGTGTGTGTTCCTTTAGTGTAGGTAGCACACTCACCCAGGGTGGGCCACCCTCAATCCTAGCGTCGCACCTTTAATCCCAGCATCACATGACCTAGATTCAGCCACCTCCAAAAAGCCCCACTTAGGACCACATGAGGCTCTGGGGGTAGATCTAGATACGAGCTGTTACAACCAGGGTCCTGTAGCTAGCTAGGCTTTGAACTGGGATGACACCCCGGGGGTCACCTCCAGAGCCACCTTGCTTAACCACTGGGCCTGATGCCATAGGCTTACTGTGATGCCCATTCAACCAGTCCGGGCAGGGGTTGTGCGAGTTCCAGGCAGCTGCAAGTCCAGGGGCAGAGGGCTCTGCCAGCTGTGGCGGCAGGAAGGGCACTGGACATGAGGTCACCTGATTGCTACTTGCTGGCTGGGTGGCTCTGTGTGATTTAACCTCACTGTGTCTCAGTATCCTATCTGGAAAACGCTGGTGGCCGCCTCAGAGGGTCACTGCGAAGCATGAGTTATAAACGTGAAGTGCTGGCAGCAGGGCCTGCAAAGTGTCAGCCCTTCATGGGAACAGCGAAGCACCCGCACGAATACACGTTCTTCCTTTATCCATTCAACAGACACTTGCTGAGCACCTACTATGTGCTGGACTTGAGAGACACAGTGGGGTACAAGCCAGGTTGCTGGGCTCAGAGAGCCTTGGGCTCAGACAAGACAAAGAAGTATTTGGTATGGCAGGGAAACAGCAGATTGGGAAGCAGCAGGCCCTTGCGGCTACCTTCCTCCTGGAGGACATACACTGGCACAGAAGAGCGAGTCTGTACCTGTGGTCTGCTGGGCCCTACCCTGTTTCGTGGCCTTAGCAAGTCCTGTCTGCCCTCTGGGCTGTTTCCCATCTCTAAAGTGAGGGTGCAGCAGTTGGGAGGCTGAGGCAGGAGGATCACCGAGAGTTCAAGACCAGCCTGGGCTACAAAGTGAGCTCGAGGCCAGCCTGAGCTGCAGAACGAGACCCTGTCTCAACAAGACAATAAATAAATAAATAAAGAGGGTGGTCATGCCAGCCAGGCCTTCATCTGCCAAGGGCAGGGAGGAGTATGCGTCATGTGCAGAGACGGGGCCTCACCACTGTTGCTGTGGCCCCTGCCAGGCACAAAAATGGCGCTGAAGTTTGTCAACAAGAGCAAAACAAAGCTGAAGAACTTCCTGCGGGAGGTGAGCATCACCAACAGCCTCTCGTCCAGCCCTTTCATCATCAAGATGTTCGACGTGGTCTTCGAGACCGAGGACTGCTACGTCTTCGCCCAGGAGTACGCGCCCGCCGGGGACCTGTTTGACATCATCCCTCCCCAGGTACTTGGGGCGGTGGCGTGGAGAGGGGAGGTGGTGTTCGGGCTCCCCACAGTGTGAGGGTGAGGAAACCGCGTTCAACCAAGTATTTATTGAGCACCTACTGTGTATCAGTCACCGTTGCCCGAGCTGTAGAACAGAAAGGTTCTGCTCTCAGCGGGGAAAACACTGCGTAATGGGCCGGTTAGTAACAGACTGAGACGGGCAGGCCGAAGGAAGCAGAGCATCAGGAGGGAATGCAGCGGCCCGCTCTGAAGCTGCCCAGGACAGGAGGTGACCCTGGGGCAAGGGCGGCGGGGAGGACCCCAGGCAGTAGGCTAGACTCTGCCCAGCCTCTAGACGGCAGAGCCTCAGGTCCCAGGGGGAGGTGGGCGTGCTGGCCCCTCACTGTGAGGTTTTTAATTGGACAGTGCCCGAAAAGGCTTATCACAGCGCCGGGCCCACAGCCGGCGCTCAGCCCGCGGTCCCTGCGGGGGCGGCACCACGCGGGGCCGGGAGGGCACAGAAGCGGGGCAAGGCCCGCAGCGGATGGCGGGGCGCGGCGGCTGCGGGGCAGGCGAGGGGCAGGGCCACCCGGGACGCGGGAAGCGGAAGGCGCTGGGCGCGCCCGCCGCCCTGAGCGTGGCTCCTGCCCCGTGCCAGGTGGGGCTCCCCGAGGACACGGTGAAGCGCTGCGTGCAGCAGCTGGGCCTGGCGCTGGACTTCATGCACGGGCGGCAGCTGGTGCACCGCGACATCAAGCCCGAGAACGTGCTGCTGTTCGACCGCGAGTGCCGCCGCGTGAAGCTGGCCGACTTCGGCATGACGCGCCGCGTGGGCTGCCGCGTGAAGCGCGTGAGCGGCACCATCCCCTACACGGCGCCCGAGGTGTGCCAGGCGGGCCGCGCCGACGGCTTCGCGGTGGACACGGGCGTGGACGTGTGGGCCTTCGGCGTGCTCATCTTCTGCGTGCTCACGGGCAACTTCCCGTGGGAGGCGGCGTCGGGGGCCGACGCGTTCTTCGAGGAGTTCGTGCGCTGGCAGCGCGGCCGCCTGCCCGGGCTGCCCTCGCAGTGGCGCCGCTTCACCGAGCCCGCGCTGCGCATGTTCCAGCGCCTCC